AAGTTCAAGGATCAGAGGAGGGAGGGGGGGAGGGAGGGAGGGAATCACTGACTGGGAAGGGGCATGAGGCACTCTCAGGGACACTGAAAATGTTTTATATCTTTATTTGGGTCACGGTTCTATGGGTGTACACATAATGCAAACATTTATTGAGCTGTACACTTAAGAGCTGGGCACTTTACATAAATTATACCTAAAGGGGGAAAACACACACGATGAGAAAGTAAAATTAAGAGTCTAAGCTGAGCTGATCAGTACTTATTGGAGATCATTCCATCCTATCTCCTGATCTACTCTCTCGACCCCGAGTGCTGGCAGCCCAGTGGCTAACTCAGGGCACTGTATGCTCGCGAGCTCTATCACCCCAATTTACATGAGAAGACAGGCTCATCAATTTACAGATGAGAGGGGAGGCGACATGTCCAAGGACATGTAACTGGTGTTGGAGGAGCTGGTCTGAACACAGGCCGCTGACTCCAGAGTCTAATTTCTTAACCCAGCCCTATGCCCTGCCCCACACGAGCCAATATATGTTTGTTGAGTGAATGCACAACTGATGTAATGACACGTCCTTACCTCTTTGGCTTCATTTTGTGCTTTCATATTTTCAGCAATATACTTGACACTCTGGATGGCTTCTTTGACTTCCGGCGACAAAGCAGAAAACGAGAGCACGGCGTCCACAGATTCAGTGCTGGAGCTTCTCGTGAGGTTGGCGGTGAAGTTTGAGACTTTCCTCCTGTGGTGGTGGCAGTAGCCGCACAGCACGTCCTGGCAGGGGTGGCCTTCCTTGCAGCCTTTGGACCCCACCCGGCTGAAGCAGTTCAGGTTGGAGAGCTCACCACTGCACACGGGTCTGGGCCTCGGGGCACTGCCTTCATTGCCTGCCGGCCTGGTCATGAACATGACCCTGGGAAGCAAGTTCAAGAACAGGGTCCTCACCCACGTGGGCATCGTGTGCGTGGTGGGGGTTCTGTAGTGCACGTTGAGCACGAAGACGGTGATGACGATGGACAAGGTGACGAAAATCATGGTGAACAGGAGGTACTCGCCGATCAGGGGGATGACCAGGGAGGTGGATGGGATGGTCTCCGTGATCACCAGCAGAAAGACGGTCAAGGACAGGAGCACGGAGATGCAGAGGGTCACCTTCTCGCCACAGTCCGAGGGCAGGTAGAAGACGAGCACCGTGAGGAAGGAGATGAGCAGACAGGGTATGATGAGGTTGATGGTGTAGAAGAGCGGCAGGCGCCGGATGTACAGCGAGTACGTGATGTCGGGGTAGATCTCCTCGCAGCAGTTGTACTTGATGTCGTGCTTGTAGCCCGGGGCTCGGATGATGGCCCACTCGCCGCTCTCCCAGTAGTCCTTGAGGTTCATGGAGGAGCCGATGAGGACCAGGTCGATTTTTGCCTTGTCGTAGGACCAGGACCCGAACTTCATGGTGCAGTTCTGGTAATCAAACGGGAAGTAGGTCACGTCGATTTTGCACGAGCTCTTAAAGATGGCCGGAGGGATCCAAGTCACTTCGCCCGTGTACTTGAGCAAAGCCTTGGTCTTGTCATCCACCTGGAAATCCCCCACTGCGCTGCAGAGACAGGAGGCGCGGCCTGGTCATTACACACACAGCAGGGCAACGGAAAGGAGCGGTTTCTACAGCTGTGGAATGTGACAGCTCAAAGTGCTGTGAAAGGTCACTTGTTCAGCCTCCACTTTACATTTACTGTGCCCTTAGATCCCCACAAAAAGATTATGCTCACCCTGGCCAGCTCGGCTCAGTGGTTAGAGCGTTGGCCCGCGGACTGAAGGGTCCCAGGTTTGATTCCGACCAAGGGCACGCACCTTGGCTGCAGGCTTGATCCCCAGCCCGGTCGGGGCATGCAGGGGAAGCAACTAATCCATGTGTCTCTCTCATCAATGTCTCTCTCTCTTTCTCTCCCTTCCACTCTCTCTGAAAAGCAATGGAAAAAATATCCTCGGGTGAAGATTAAAAAAAAAAGATTATGCCCGGCTCCTAGCTCCAGGAAGCAAGGGGAAAATATGAAGTAGGGTGGGGGTGAGGACCCACATGCCCTCAAGTGGATTCAACCCATGTTCAACACCCAGGAGCTTCTGTGAGGCTGGCCTACATAGAGGATTAAAAAGACCCCTGGGAAGAGAGGCTTCCAGAACAACTTCCTTTATGGCATCCTAGACCCCAGAATGTCAGAACAGTCAGGGGCCTTAAGAGCCCAGAGTCTAGTCCAGCAGTTGGCAAACTGTGGTCCCCAGGACTGCCCCCTATTTCTGTAAGTAAATTCTTACTGGAGCACACAGCCATACCCACTCGTTGTCTGCTATTATCTACGGCTACTTTTGAGCCACGAGGGCAGGGTTGAGTCTCTGTGAGAGACGCTGTGGCCCACAAAGCCTGAAATATTAATCCCTGGCCCTTTAGAGAGAGAGTGTGCTGACCTCTGCTCTAGTCTGATCCCCTCATTTGACTGCAGAGGAAACTGAAGCCCAGGGAACAGGACTGAGCTGCTCAGGGTGCCATGCAGAGTTGTTGGGAGAGCCCTGACCAACCAGAACTTGGGTCCCCAAGTGAGGAGTCGCATAACCCCATGTGCTCCAAGGCCAAGCGCTGGAGGTAAGCTTATTTTGGTTGCTGACACACATTTCCCCTGTTTTCCAGGGATCCCCACTGTGGCTGCTGCCACAACCCTGGCTGTGTCTGTCTAGACCAGAAGGCCTATTTGCTGACCGGGGCAGTGTCTGCAGCCTGTCTCTGACACCAGGAGACCGAGAAGATGAAGACCTAGCTGGGGACTGGGAGCTGGCACAGCAGTAGCCACACAGGGGGCACTTGGTAAGCATTTGTTGACTGAATGGATGATCAGAAAATAAATGAAGATGTCACCGTCACAGGGTGCCCAAGAAATGGCTGCAACAAGGGACAGCAGATGTGGGAGGGCTCTGAGCCAATGTGCTGCTAAACCACGGGAGTTAATCAGAAAAAGAAAAGTCCCGCTGGCTGCATAGGACTGGCTGGGGTGTGGCTTTAACAGAAAGAAAGGCTAAGAGCTTAAGAGGGGAGAGTGCGGGGAGTGGTGGGAGAGTGTGCCGGCATCAGTGTTTTATTCCTCCAAATCCCCTCAGAAATATAGGGCATGTGGGATAGAAAAAGGAAAAACCTACTGACCACACGGTCAACAAAGGTTATATGGGACCCTGAGAACCTCAGAATATGAGCGGATGGGGTAGAACCACCAATACCAGCAGGACCTGCGCGGGAACATGTGGAATTAGCTGCTGGTGGAGGTGCCAAGGGCAGAGAAAGGGGAGTTGTCATGTCCTAGGAGCCCCAGATAGAAATCATCAAGAAGTATCTGCCCCTCAGAAAAGAGGACCCACCCCACTCTCTGTTGAATCTTCAGGGAAACAGGAGAAAAAATTCTTTTAAATCAGAGACAAAAAGAATTTGAGAGAAAATAATAGAGAATATAGGTAAAGAAGTTCCAATATATGTAAAAATGGATTTCCTGGAGGGATAATCAGAGCAGTAGAAAAGAACAAATCTTAAAAACTATAATTTAAAAAAACTTCCCTGGAATAAAAGAAGGTTTCTTAAGTACACGGTACAGAGTAAAACGACTAGACTTGAAAGGCAAAGGCAAAAAGAACAACCTGCCTATAAGTCAGCTGACAGTACGTCCCAGCTTGTCTAGGACAGTCCTGGTTTACATCTGTGGTCCTGGGACACTTACTAATAGTGTCCCCTTTCTCTCCCCAAAGTCAGTCAGTTTTACAAGAACAAGAAAATTAAGCTGGCATCATATCCTGACAGCAACACTTTGTACCTGGACACAAGTCAGCACTTTTGAGATTGCCATCAAAGGGAAAAAAGTGAGCCAAGGATGTTATATCCAGGTAAGTGACTGCAAAGTATCATCTAAAAAGGCTGCAATGAGTTACGAACGTGTGAGAACTTACGGTATATTGTGAGCGCTTTCTGAGGATTCTGTTAGAAAGTGAATTTCAGAAAACAAAAGATCATAGGAGAAACTTTGGCTTAAGAAGGTAAACGGTGTTTCTAGTGTTTAAATGAAGAGAAACCCTCAACAGAGGACCGATCCTGAGAAACTGAGGTTCTGACTTGAGAGATGAGTGGATGATTTTTCTCTAAATGTTATTTTCAGCTTCACTTTCTAAGGAAATTACTTATGACATTTGCTTCTCCCAAAGCCAATTTGAAGCACTTTACTGTGCCTCTCAGTATTGTTACAAGCATACATCCTAAAGATTTCCAGGAAGAAAACAGCCATAATATTTAAATCGTAAGATTAAAATTTTTTCCCGTGTTCTTATTTCTAGCTTAGCAAAACTTCTTAACACCCTGCCCAGCTCCCTCAGAGCCTTTGGATAAGAAATTTCCAGGGCAGCTCACATTCTGCAAGCCAGCCAAGTTTATCCTGTGTCCAGCTCTTTAAGTACCAATTTACAAATACAAATTGCATGAAAGAATCATGCAATTTTGAATGCTGCGTTTTCCTGGGAAAACAGTAAATAAAACACAGACCATCTCTGGAGTGGTTAAAGGTCCCCCTTCTTTTAGCCAGTGACCAGAAAGTGGTATTCAACCAAAAACATAGCTTTTCTAGTCCTAATACTAATAGTAAAACATATTAGTTTGTACTAATAAGCATAAAACCCTAAACACAGAATCTTTTTATTCATTAAAATCAGATTAGACTAAATCTATGTGGAATGTTGTGCTGGAAAATGCTTAGTGGTTAAAACATTGTAACTAGAGATAAAGCACAGGTGGAAAAAATGTTTTCCAATACCCAAGAATGAACTAGCACATACTGTAAAATATCAGTTAAAATTTATATCTGCGTAATAACAGAGCTTAAGTGTGGGAAGTGTCCGATTTTTAGGAAAGAGAGGTGCTATGATGCACAGGGTCAGAAGGGGAGACCTCGGAGGCTTCCTGAAGCGGGTGGGGAGGTGTGTGTGGAGAGAAGGTCAGGGAGGGTGGGGCGACTCACCAGGTGAGCAGAGGAATGCCACCTTCCTGAGGTCTAGCCTCAAGGGGCCCACTGGGACCTGACTTACAGGAAAGGTCAGTCTTGGAAGGGCCGTGGCTGCAGATGCTCCCCCCGCCGCCCCCCATTGTAGTTCCCTTCCTTGCCCTCACTCTAGTCTGCAATTGCACATTTGGATATTATAACTCAGGCCTGTCTTCCCTGCTGCACGACAGCCTCCTGGAAGCAGGAGGCGTATCTGCTCTGTGCACCACTGTGTCTCCAGCAGTTGGTGTGCAGTAGGTGCTCAGTAAATTCCTGTGGGATGAGCCAATGAATGGAGCCCTGTCGGAAAAGGTCCAGCGAAGGCCAGGCTGCCCTAGAGGGTGGAGCCACCTGCCCTTACTTGTTGTAGAGGACGATATCAGGCTTCCAGATCTTCTGTGCAGGGACACGCAGGAACTCCGCCCCGTCGTAGTCAGAGGGGTTCCACTTCAGCTTGTAGTCATTCCAGATCTGGAGGGAGGAGCAGCAAAAAGACCAGTGTGGTTTTATTTCTCTTGACACCCATCTTGGTGAACTCCCCACCCCTGCCCCATGTCACACAGCCGCCTCCATGCTGCAGACCACATGAGCCTAATGTCTTGTGTAGGTGCTAGTAGGGAGAGCACCGGGCTGTGTGCAGGCCACCTCCTGCTCTCTGGTGGCCATTGCCACTGTGACTGTGGGCAGGGTCACCCCCTTGTCAAACATGTAAGAATTACAAGTGCTTACTCTGACCAGGTCCAGTTCATGCCTTCATCTGGTGTTGTTTACATCCCCTGAAATGGCTCTCCAGGAGCTTTTTCAGACATATTCCCCAGCAAGTCCCCCAAACAGGGTGTTAATCACACACAGAGCCCTCTCCCACCTCTAGGTTGAATGGGGTTGGCCTCTGAAGGGCTTTGGGAAAGGAGCCAGGGTCCCATCAAGGCCCAAGAAGTGTTTGGGTGCAGAGGCTGAGAGATCTGAGTCCTGAGCCCCAGAGGGGAGAGGCAAGCTGTGGCCTGAGGGAACATGTGCCATAGGGCACCGAGTGGGCACTGTGTCCACCTGGCTTTCCAGCTCCTGGAGGAAGGCTGGAGAGCTGGCCTGGTGGAAAGGTCACCATCAGGCCAGTGAGTTATTTATCCAGGTCTTGGCAAAACCTCCCTGGGGAGGACACATGGAAGATGATTTCTTTAGCTTCAATCTGAACAGGAAAATCCAGAGCCCCTGCCCCCATCCTACCAACAACGACTGCAGCATCTGATTCCGACTTAAGGAGGAGTTTTGGGCAAGAGGAAGGGAAGGGGGTGGTCTCACACCCCACCCTAGAGTTTGGGGCCAGCGCTCCAGGCTCAGGTCTGTCCCATTTTATCGTGTGACTGTGGAAAAGGCTCCTCCTTCCAGGCTGCACTGTCATCTGTGACTTGAGGGATGGGGCCCTGCAGCCCTTCCTGGGGGAACCTTGGGACCCAAGTCCAAGAAGAGACAGATCAGCTAGTCAATGGACCCCAGCCTTGGTCTACAGAAATGAAAGCCCCAGCTTGGGGTTCGGGTCCTTCTTCGTTCACCCACAGCAAATAATGCAGTCACCACCAGGGGGCAGCAGTGCTCAGGGCTGGTCTCTTACTTGCTTGAGCCACAGGTTGGTCTCCATGATCTGGTTTACTTCATCCTAGAAAGGTAGATGAAAGTGGATGCGTGAAGTACCAAAACAAGGCTCTGGGAAAGCCTTTCCCAGAAGCCCTGTGCCCCACAGCCACGGCTTATGGCTCAGGCACTCACCACCTTCACCAGTTGAGACATGGACACCTCAAACTGGACGATGACAGCGTCTGACACGTTGGCCACAGGCCGGATGATCTCATTGTAATCTTCAAACAGCCGCTCAAACAGACGGTGCTCAGCCTCGGAGCCGCTGGCCACTGAGGAAAGGAGCCCTGTTAGACCCTTAGAATCTTTTCCTTTCAACAGGGACCCCTGCCAGCTACAGCCTCTTCTCCGCCCATTAGGGGGACTCTGTGGAACTGCAGACTTTCAGACTGGTTTTGCTCCTTCGAGTACAGACTGAGAAACTGAGGCCCAGGACAGATAGAGATTCCATCAGGCAACACATTCATTGAGAAACAGTGTGTACAAGCCTGGGTTCTGAGTTTGGATAGATCTGGTATAAATCCTGACAAACTACTTGTGAGCTGTGTGAGCTTAGGCAAGTGGCTTAACCTCTCTGAACCTCAGTTTCTTTATCTGTAAAAACAAAGACTATAAACATATCCATGTTGTAGGGTTGTTATGAGTGATGGGCTCAGCTCAGTGCTAGCATATGGTCAGAGCTCACGAACTCTCCATAAGTTCATTGTTACAATGGGGCAGGTGTGTAGTCTACATAGGTACATCCACTCACTGCTTCCAGGATGGAGATGACCAGTCACTCCCAGGGCCATGTGTTTTGCCTCCTAGCCTCCCAGTGGGAGACTAGAGTGCAGGTCTGGGGCTTTCCTTCATCCCACTTGGACCAATCCTCTTAGAAGATGGGCATCTGCATGGCTCCCTGATCTTCCAGTGTGACCCAGGGTTCCTCCTGATGTTGTCCTCACATCCTGATCAGAGACCCTAACCTCTCTGAACCCCTTCCAGGAACCCCTTCCAGGAACCCCTTTACACCCCAGGCATCTTGAGTCAGCTGTCTGATGCTTCCCACTTACAATCTGGAGAGGGGATGAAGGGAATCCCCGGTGAAGTCCCAGCTTCTCCAGCTCTTGAAATGGGATATGCCTGCTCCTTTCCTGTCCTCGCCCCCCCCCCCC